ACATGTAACAATTTAATGGTTTAATGCAAAGTTAAGTTTCGTATATTCCAACAAGTGCAACTTATATTTTAAAGAAGGACCAACTAAATGTTCAGGCAAAAATTTTAAGCATATTGGATAACATCTGATGATATATGACGGTTCTGAGTTGAAAGCGCGGCAAATAGTATAAGAGTTAAAAACATTTACGCCCTCTGCTGCTGACAACTGGGCTTGCATCCACAAAGTCATACCGACCAATTATTTGATTCTGTATTATCTTGACAGCAAGTTTTCAGTTATATTAAATTATTCACCTGAATGTGAAAACTTTGCATAAACACTGAATGTCAACCTTCAGTGTTTACGCAAAGTTTTAGAGCTTTTCAGTGTCTATTTTACTAGTAGAAATGTTGTAATTTGAATTATCCTTTACGGGCCACAATCAAAGAGCAAAGGTACTGAACCTTTAGTGAAAGTACGAAAGTATACATGTCAAAAAAATACGATTAAAGAACAATAATAAAAAAGGAATCGCTAACCTAACTATATCTTCAGATACGTTCAAGAACCCAAACAGCACGGAAATGATTCCTACAAAGGCAGCCAAGTACAAAGATCTGGTGTAGTAGCCTAGCCATGCAAAGTAGAACGCTACTTTCGAGCCGAAGTACCTCCTAAAGAAAAGTAGAAGGACATGCAGCATCAGCAGATAATCAGAATGCCTCGGCAACGTACTTGATGCAGTCAAGAGGTTGGTACTTCAGTACATTTCTATAGGATACCCAATGATTGTAAAGCAACTCTCTTTGCGACACTTCATTTCCTTTGCTCATCTCGCTGCTGTCATTTCTCAGTGTCTAGAAAACAAAGAGAAATCAAGATAAGGGAGCATTCCACTTGTAATCAGGACATTACCTGATGTAATGGATAAGCAGCAGTGTAAACACCCTGAGCCACTAATCGTTCAATTCCAAATCGGTAGTGATTTTGCGTCTTTCCCTTGGAATTTAAGCGCGGATCATCGTAATGAGCTCTGGTAAGCAAGTCATACACCATTCGAGATCGTTCGGCATGTGGAAATAGAATGTCTGGGCGATCCCAATTGACAAACCTATGCAAGATATTCAAATGACCCATGGGCGAACACAAGATAATAATGTCAAAGATGTCCTCACTGTTTTCGCCTGTCACTAGAATATGGCGCAGTGAAGAAGTCTGGCTCTTCCAGAACTTTCTTCACACGCGGTTCGAAATCAAAAATGCCAATCTTCGAAAGTATACTATCCAAGAAACCGGGAAGCGAGGTTCGATCCTGTGACGCAAATTAATTACTTTCATAAATTGATCTCGTACAAGTGCTAGCACATAGCAAGCAAATTTTCGCGGTTTTATAAAAAAAATCAACGAAGTGCAAAGTAAATGAAATAAGAACATATAGTCTGTTTCAATGGGATAGAATATGTACATTCCAGCGGCGAAAAAAGAGTGCAAACGATAATGCACCTTGAAGTCGACATCACTTTGTTGTACTGGAAGCTTTACAGACAGTAACTGC